CAAAAAAATGTCAATTCGTTATTATTTACTCACCCTCCAGTTGTACCAAATTTGTACGAGTTAGTTTCTTCTGTTGAACATAAAAGAAGATATTTTGAAGAATGTTGGTAACCAAACAGTTGCTGGTTGCCATTGATGTCCATAGTGTGGAGAAAAAAAAATACAATAAAAGTAAATTCCTCAACTATTCCTTTAAAAAGTTAGCATGAAGTAATATACGTCACAGACAGTGAAGCCTACATTAAATCAAATTTACACATGATCAGTACATATTATCCAAATGGATAAATCCCATAAAACATACATTTTGACCAATTCTAATGTATCATCATGTCCCAATCTTACCACAGTTGGTTTTGTTTTCCCGACATTTCATGCATGGAAATGTAGCATTAGAGATCTAGACACTGACAGCTACACAGTGTCACTGCAGGGTCAGTGTATGTACGGCTGTTCATCAGACGGAATGTAAATGTAAATACTGTAGCGCTCTTTGCATTGTCTTCCTTGGTTGCAACCCCCGAGAATATTTCCTCCCTTTATAATGAATTTTGTGTTTGTGTTTCCTATGCTGATGTCTTATTTCTTATGAAAGCTGTTATTGTTCCTGCGGTATCGAAGAATGAAGTTTATGATAGACAGAGAAATTGCTTTTCGCTGTTGTGCATGTCAGCTGCATTATTATGCAATTTTTTAAGTGTTTCCTTGAGCTGTACTTGTGATTTGAGGGTATGGATTTCCCATGATGCATCTGTAAAGGCAACACAACTTCTGTAGCTATTACTTGTTCACGTCCTTCATAGACTGAAAGATTGTAGGGAAGCTCATTTTTGCCACATAAGAAAAAAACTGTTTTGGTAAATCATAATTATGACATTAAGTCATAATTGGGTCATAATTAAGTCATTATTGAAAACTGAAATAAAAATATTTTTAAAAATACTAATAAAAATAACAATTATTTTAATCATAATTAAAAATGACTAAAAATAAAAATGGCCATAATAAATAAAAGTCATAATTATAATATTAAAAGGTCATAACTGAAAACTGAAATAAAAATAAATTAAAGCTAAATAGAAATACAAGAAAATACTGATAAAAAATGACAAAAACATAAAATTGATAAAAGAAACTTGATAAAACTGACAAAACGTTTTTTTGTTTTACTTTATAATAATTTTGGATTTTTATCTCAATTGACTTAGTATCTCAAAATTTTGACTTTTGTTATAATTTGTCATAATCTCATAATTTTTATTTACCAAAGCTTTTTTTTTTCTCCTGTGGAAATGGGCTTCACATGATTGTCATGTGTGTGAATCTCGGGAAGAAATCCCCAAGTAACATTTCACGCTGAAATTAAAAAGAAAATTAAGAAACTATATTCTTCAACGACAATGAAAACCTTTTTGAAATTTAATTGAATTATGTATTTTTGCATTGCATTGTGACATTATTTTCATGACTGATAAGAACATTTTCTTTTAATTATTGTAGTGAAATATGACCAGGATATTTCTTGACAGATCACCCCTGTATACTAAGGACCATGGAAAAGATGTCCTCATATGCGACCAGGCAATTCAGATGTCACGAGAACCTCTGCTGTTTATTCTATTATATCTATTCTACTATTGTTGGTAGCCTACTTCAGACCTAATCAATCCCAGTACATGCTGTGTACGCACATGATGTTCCACCAACTTTCCCTACTGATCCAAAGATACCATTCACAACCCATTTTAATTACTTGAATGTGGCCACGGTTTTCACCTTTGTGCTGCCCTGGCAGCGGCTGTTCATTTACGGCTCATGACAGGTGACAGTATAATGTACTACAATGGTTGTCCAGTACTGTTTGTGTGTTTTCAGCTTAAGTTAAACCGAGTGCTCTCAGTAGGGTGTCACCTTATGCAGTCAAGCACTTGTCAAGACTCAGTAATGACTGATAATGAAGTCATCTTGCAGGACTCGAGATGATGTGTAAGACCTGACGTTTATTTTGATGTGCTGAATGAAATGCAAAGCAAATCCATGAATAAAGTTTATTGAACAGTCGTTAGTGTTCTGAGTGGTCAGTTTTGGAGATTCGTTGAAGTAAGGATGTAAGTGTGAAACTCACTAAAACTGTCATGAACAATGGCAAAATCATAATAAAATATGCAAAATAAAATTAGATTAGAGATTAGACTATTTTATGACATTTAATATTCTCGTTACTACAAAGCCCATTTGTAACATAGTAGTAATATTTGTTACTAGAATCTTGGAATCTAATTTCTTGGATTCTCATGTGAAAGAGAATGAAACTTCTGTCATTAATTACTCACCCTCATGTCGTTCTAAACCCATAAGACCTCCGTTCATCTTCGAAACACAAATTCAGATATTTTTGATGAATTCTGAGAGCTCTCTGACCCTCCATAGACAGCAAGGATACTACCACGATCAATGTCCAGAAACGTAGCAAGGACATCGGTAAAATAATCCATGTGACATCAGTGGTGCAACCGTAATTTTTCAAAGTTATGAGAATATTTTTTGTGCGCAAAGTAAACAAAAATTATGACTATTTAACTATTTGTCTCCTCCGCGTCACCCTGGCGCCGTTTTGGAGAGTATCCACTGAACGTATGCTGTTCTGTGTCAGCCGCACCACTCGGATACATTGTCTACGTTGTTTACGCTTTGATCTGAACGAAAACAATGTATCCACGTGACGCAGCTGACACAGAACAGCATACGTTGTTCACGTTCAGCTGATACTCTCCAAAATGGCGCTATAGGGTGACGCGGAGGAGACGAATTGTTGAATAAAGTCGTAATTTTTGTTTTATTTGCGCACAAAAAGTATTCTCATAGCTTCGTAAAATTACGGTTGAACCACTGATGTCACATGGACTATTTTAACGATGTCCTTGCTACGTTTCTGGACCTTGATCGTGTTAGGATCCTTGCTGTCTATGCAGGGTCTGAGAGCTCTTGAAATTAATCAAAAATACCTTAATTTGTGTTCCGAAGATGAACGAAGGTCTTACGGGTTTGGAACACATGAGGGTGAGTAATTAATGACAGAATTTTTATTTTTTTGTGTGAACTATCCCTTGAAGGTGGATCAGGACAATAAATGGAAAAGAATATAGAAATATGGTAATTTTTAATCAGTGGTGCTGAATTGGTTTTACTTTCAGGTGATCCAAAAGAGTACCAAAATTGTTAATTGTACAAAACTAAACAAAAATCAAACATTTAAATTTATCAACATAACCGTGAACGTCATAAACCCAATAATGTGCAAAACTGAGTGTTGTTTCTGCTGTACTTTAACAGTAACAAAACACATTGTAGTTGGCACAAACCATGTTTATCCTTGTTCATAGGTTTCGAGGATGAGGGGTATGTCATGCAACCTGTCCATGTCCACATCCACCCAATTTGACTAACTTGTACCAAGCGACAGATGAATCTCTGCCAAAAAAACAAAGATTACCATAAAATACAATATTATTTGCATCGAGGATTGTATTCCCTGCTGTCCAAAACCCTGTCAGAACACACTTGTGCCCCATTTCTGGGTCACAACCCAAGAGATAGCCATGCCCTGAACTCACAATATTGTTTGAGCATCATACATGTCATGTTGCATTCAAGTCCTCCTGGGAAGTTTGTATTTATGAATTGAGAAGCCGTAATTACAACATCAGGCGGGCCCAAGTCCTTTTGTTTGGAACAAGATGGCAATGTAGCTTTTCTACAAAAGATTCAGCAAAAATGTTTAACTCTACTTCAACAAAATTATGCACATCAAGTATGAAGGTCTTGTGAATTTAATCAGTATATATCATAATTGTACAATACTAATTGTAGTAATAACAATTTCATTCATTTCAACAAATCTACCATCAATACAGCCACTACATCTATTCCGTCCCCCACAGTTTCTCACTAGATATGTTTCCATCCACATATTTTTATGCAAATTTTGGGATATTGCATAAAAATAAGCTGGATGGCAACGTCAACATATGCATAAATACGCAAAAAAAAAAGTATGCCCTCAATTGAGGCGAAAATTTATTTTGTATATCTGATAAGACATTTGCGTAGACTATGATGGAAACACATTTACCAAATAAATCCCTCTTTGCGCAACAAAAAAACGTACACGACTTTGCCTCGACAGTGGTTATGATTGGATAATTGGACTAACCAGCAGACCAGTTTCATTGCTCAGCATCTCAAATGTTGGTTTAATCATTCTGAAATGCCTGAGCCAATTTGGTTTATCTGTCTCGCATAACTGCGTTCACAAACACCAGGCATCTGCCTACAAACGCAAGATAGCATGACAGTTTATTGCGTTTCGTCTGTGTGATCGGAGACGCCAAGTCATTTGTGATGTAAAAAAAGCCACTGTTTCTTCCCTGATTGCAGTAACTTCAATTTTTAGTTTCCCAGGAAGAGACCATTTCGTTCTATTGAACACATGGGATGGAACCAGTGCTTTATTCGCAGATGTTTTATACAAAATTCCAAATTTGTACATAAGTTAAACTCACAATTTTGGATGGAAACAGAATCACAAGTTCCAAGTTTGAGACTCATTGAGACCCATTGTGGTGGGATTCATGTGCATTCAGCTCATAAATATGATCTTTCAGATATGAATGCACCATTAGTGTATTCAGAGTCAGTGTTTACAGTATTTGGGTGAAAAAACATTCATACGCCTATGAATATTTGTCTCGGCATATTCATTTGGCATATCAGAAAGTATTTCAACATAAAATGACACACTTCACCTCTACACAACACCATCCTACATTTGTAAAAGTACAAAACACATCTGATCTCTCAGCTCTAGGGGAGGCAGAACCTGTCAAGAGCTGTTATTATGAACCCGCTACATTAAATCTACTCATGTTTCAGTGCAATTCTTAAGAGCCTTTAATAATACAGGGCCTGTGCTCCTGACAAATGTCATTGGCTGAAAAAAAAATGACGAATGGGGCGCCTCCACGTTTAACAGGCTTATTACATAAAAATGACTGCGGGGGAGAAATAACTTGTTCTCTCCAGAGAGATGGAGGGATATTTAGCTCTTCGTTTTGCTCACAGTTTCGATACGGTCCATACATTATGCTGCTATCTGGACCAGCATGGCAATGAAGCCGGGTAATTTTCTCATCTCTCCTCCACAAACTAAATTCCATTTCCTTTCCTCCTCTCTGTAGCGTCTCCACGTCTTTATTGATTTATTCTGCGGGCTGCACCCCATCGAGACAGACCGTCTCATTGAGCGACTCTTCCCTGGGGACATTACAAAGACAAACAAACAGCTGTCTGTAGGCTCTCAAACCACTGTTTGGGGACAGCTCATTGTGAGGGTGATAACATCTGCGACTTGACGCACGTTTAAAACGCTCCTCCTTTAAATAACTCAGCTGAGATTGGATGGACTCTGTCTGGCCACACTGCAGAAACCGCACCTGAGCCCCAGACACCAACTTGTCTGTTTTCAGCCTTGCCATTGATTTTAAGGCCTCGTCCCCATTGGCATACTTATACTATGCACTAAAGATATGTCCTACACTGGCGATGAGTCCTGGGACATACTGTCATAACATTGGGCTTTGATTCCCGAAATATTCCAAATTGAATATATTTTAGCACTTCTACAGAATTTGTGGCATAATGTTAATCTAAAAAAACAAAAAATGGAGGTACAACTGAAATTCATGGGGCCAATTTTTAGAAATTTCAAATGTAATGTAATATAATTAATATTATATTATATTATATTATATTATATTATATTATATTCAAGTGCTTATAATTGTATAAAATAATTTTGAGTTGTAAAGCTGTTTAAATCAAAATGTTTATAGTCATAGGCTTTTAGCCATTACATTGTCATGGGGATGTTGTAAAATGCTCTATAATTTAGCATAGAAATAGTCATGTTAATATACATATTGTTTATGTCTTATGTCTATAATACTGAGATATTATAGAGTATTTTACATTATTTTAATTTTTATAAATTGGACCCTCTCAAACAAAAGATTAATAAACAACATTATTTAACAGCTATATATATATATATATATATATATATATATATATGTATATA